CCTAGTGAGTTCAGGACCAACATGAGCTACATGGCAAGACCTTGTCTTAAAAAAAAAAAAAATCAAAGTAATGTCTGTCTGTTGTTAATCATTTGGTGAAACGTAGGAAAGAAGAAAGTACAAACCCCTTCCATTCTGCAGGTGCTCAGGGATTGATTCTTTACATGGTTGGGACATTTAAATCTTACTTTTCTTTTTCTCTTCACATCACAGTATGTTTTTAAAAATAAATAACATGGTCTTTTAAAAATTAAATAAGTATTTTTATACATAATTCTAAAAATAAAACTTTTTTTTCTTTTTTTTGTTTTTTTGAGACAGGGTTTCTCTGTGTAGCCCTGGTTGGCTGTCCTGGAACTCACTTTGTAAACCAGGCTGGCCTCAAACTCACCGTGATCTGCCTGCCTCTGCCCCCAAGTGCTTGGGATTGGAGGCGTGCGCCACCACCGCGAGGCCAAAAGTGAACTTTCTAATACCAATTGTCAAGTACTTTAGAAGTACATCAAGTAGCATTTCCATATTAATTTCCACCACCACTGGTCACTGTTCCCCTTCTTCCTGCTGTGTATCAGCGGAGTGCTCACAGAAAGGAATTGTGCTATGAATACACACGTCCAGCTTGGTGTCTTCACTCACTGATGTATTCTGTCTTTTTATAGCACAAACATCTTCTGGTGCCATTAAAACATTATTCATCTGGTATTTTAAAAGGCTACATAACAGCTCATCAGTTAGATACACTCTGTTTTATGTAATCCTTCCTTTGAGTAAATATTTATCGACATTTTTTTATTCTGTCCAAGAGCCAAGTCTCAGCCTCATAGAGTCAAGATAAACATCTTAAAGTTTCCTTTCCAGGAAGAGTTTGTCACTTTACACTTTATTCAGTAGCTTAGGAAAATATACAGTGACAGGGATCATGAACACTTCATAATCTTTGATGATGTTACAACCCCTCCATTTCTGTTTGTTTGCACACTAGGAGATTTAATACTTTTGCATATTAATGGTTTTAAGGGTTTTAGGAAAGAGCTACTCTTTCTTCTATTTTTTTTATGTATATGGGTGTTTTGCCTACATGTATGTAAGTATGTGTACTACCTTCATGCATGGAGGCTGGAAGAGGGTGTTAGATTCCCTGGAACTAGAGTTACTACTTGCTGTGAGCCTGGGAATGGAACCTGAGTCCTCCCCAAGAGCATTAAGTTCTCTTAACTGCTGAGCCATCGCCCCAGCTCCTCTACACCTGTTCAAACCAAGTATTGGTTTCTAGCTCAGGCAGAGCGGTGTTTGGGATGAAGCCCTATTTCCTTGCTCCCTCAAGTGTTCCACCTGCAACCACAGCTCCTGTGACCTTTGGTTCCATCTCTAACTGGTTCATTCTCTGGGAAGTCAAGTACAAATCAGGGAGAGAGGAGTACTCCATAGACCAGCTTGGACCAGGACTTAGTGAGCAGTGTGTGACTTGATGGAGGACAAGTGTCAGCCTCTGGATACTGCATGATTAACTAATGATATCTATGATCAATGTTTAGTGTCCCATCCATTCAATATAGTAATAGGTCCTTCTTGGGTTTATAGCTTTTGCATCTGCAGGGCATTGAAGGTGCTTTCGTTTTATCTGTAGAGCATGTGTCCTTGTGCACGAGGATCTCAGGGCTTTTGGCTCCTGGCAGGTGACTCTCGGGGTGGCTACTTCCTTGATTACTCTTGCAGTGGTTACCAGATTTGGTAAAGTGGGTTTTTTTGTTTGTTTGTTTGTTTTGTTTTGTTTTTTGTTGCTGGGTATGTTGGCCCACTACTTTAATCCCAGCACCTGGGATGCAGTCTGGAGAATATCAGTTGGAGACCAACCTAGTCTACAAACTTAGCTCCAGGCTAGCTGGGGCTACATGGTAAACTAGGCCAGGCTAGCTGGGGCTACATGGTAAGACCTTGTCTCAATTTTCCTTTCTTCTTTTGATGTGATTTTTATGAAGATTTTGCTAGGTAGCTTGGACTGAATTTGAACTTCGGATCCTCCTGCCTCTTCCTTCCTACTGGGTGCTGGGATTAAAGGTAGGTTTCACCCAGCCAGATTTATTACTTTGCCAATTTTTGAGATAAAGATAGAATTTTATTCTGGTTCTAATTTACATTCTCTTGAGTACAGATGGAATTGACTTCTTTATATTATGTGATAATATTAGGTTGCTATTAATATGAGATTATTGTGAAGATAGTGTAACAGCTTCTCTTTCTGCTGCTGCTTCTCGCCCTCCTTCGAACTCAATACTTCTCCCTCCTTAGCCTCCTCAATGCTGGGGTGACAGGCCTGTGCCACCATGCCTTGTGACATTGGTGATTTTGCTGTCAGGGTAGGTCCTTGACCCCAGGATCTTGATTCTATCCAGTGCAAGAAGTCATTAGGCTTTTGGGACTTCCAGGAGCCTGTGGTCTGTCTATAGTTGGACACTAGAGGCATATCATACAAAAAAGCGTTGATTGAGGAGGATGTTTTCCTTTTGTATGTTTGTTTTTCGAGACAAGGTTTCTCTGTGTAACATCCCTGACTGTCCTGGACCTTGCTTTGTAGACGAGGCTGACCTCTAACTCAAAAAGATCCTCCTGCCTCTGCCTCCCACGGGCTGGGATTAAAGGCGGGCACCACTATGCCCAACTGAGAATGTTTTTCTAATCAGTGTTTCAGTTTTGTAGAATCAGAAGTCTAATCTAAGAGTTGATGCTTTGAAGTCCCATACACCAGACCACACCATTCCTATCAAGAGAAAACACAACACATCCTTCCCTTGTGGCTTTTTTTTTTTTTTAAGACAGGGTTTCTCTGTAGCTTTAGAGCCTACCCTGGAACTAGCTCTTGTAGACCACGCTGGCCTCGAACTCACAGTGATCTGCCTGCCTCTGCCTCCCTGGTGCTGGGATTAAAGGCGTGTGCCACCCCCCCCCCAGCCCCCAGCTCTTATGGTTTTTTATACTTAACCATTTTATAGCACTCTGGTAGGCTGTCCTGGGTAACTGTCCTTCGTAGCATGAATAACAAAAAACCCAGAGACAGATTTTGGGGTTCAAGCTGAAGATCAGAAAAGCAAAGCAGCCAGCCACTAGCTCTTACCTCTACCTCAGACTGAAATGGTGATCCTGCCTCCATGAATCCTCAGACTGAGACTGAGCTGAGAGCTGTCTTTTCCCATCTTAATTCCTCTCTAGTGCTGGGATTAAAGGCGTGCACCACCACTGCCTGGCCTGTATGGCTGACTGGTGTGGCTGCTTTGCCCTCTGATCTTCAGGCAAGCTTTATTTATTAAAACACAAATAATATGCCACTATAGTCCTTAGTGCCTCAGGAGAGGCTGCTGCCAGTGCCCTGTGCTGGCCTGTGTCTCCTCTGTCCTGTCACCAAGGTTCACTGACATTTTCTAAGCAGAAAGGAAGTTCTAGAAGGAGATGTATGGTGAACCCCAAGTTGGTTTCAAGTCTTTCTGTTAAACAGCACCAGTCAGGGGACCCTTCTTCCTGGACTTGGTCTGTTCTTTGCTGAGGGCCACACTGTCACGCATTATGTGCGTAGGCTGGCAAACTTGTGGTGATCCTCCTGTCTTTGCCTCTCAAATGCTAGGATATAGGTGTCCAGCACCACATCCAACTAATATTATCCTTTAATAACAAACTATCAACAGTCGGCATCTCTTGTGTGGTTAGAGCTAGGGGCCCTCTCTTTAAAACTGTCTTTATTATGAATTAACCTTTTTCCTTTTACCCCATCTTCCTGTTTTTACTTCAGGCCGGAAGTTAAGAGGAAAAGCCTTCTATTTTGTCAACGGCAAAGTATTCTGCGAGGAAGACTTTTTGGTGAGTATATAACCCAGACTGTGTAGGGTGAGGGTGGGTTAGGACAGGAGGAGTCTGAGAGGCCCAGATGGCAGGAGTTTGTTCCTCTGCACTCCTGGTAGTACTGGGAGAGGCCATTTCCTCCTGGTGGATGCCTGGGTAACTTGAGTCCTGAAGTAGGAGACAAGCCCCAAAGCTTTATGCATGTATAAATGCGCCCTCCCCACCCCACCACCACCTGCCCCCCCCCCCCCCCGCGTTGGGGGGGGTGGGTGGGGGGGGGGGGGGGGGGGGGGGGAGGGGGGGGGAGGGGGAGAGAGAGG